TGATACATGCAGCAATTCATGATTATATCATGTGCACTGTGAGAATGAAAACGATACACATAACCCGATACTGTGGCTATGCTTTGGGCCGTTTGTTATCTGCGGAGTGCTTCGTGGTAGGTGGACCACACGGGCGTAGTGGGTGTGATTATTTGCACAGAGCAGTTAGAAAGCACAAATACACCTCCACAATTTTGGTTTTACGCTCTTCTTTTGAATTATTTGAGAAAATGTACCTTACTAAAAGATGTCACACAATTTCCTATTGCCATTTTTAGCCTTCTTGAAAACATTTACAAACACACTATTATTCTACTATTCAAATATTATTTGGTGCAGTTGTACCAGTGTTTCACATTGAACTTTAAATAGACTAATATAGACCTTGTTCTCAAACATTGTGTACTTTCTTGCAATTTAAACGCAACATTTATTAAACCCAATTTCCACCTATTCCCAGATGAACAAGTTAATAATGAGTGACTTAACATGTGCATTATCACTGTAGTGATGAGGGTTTTTTTAAGAGTATCCCAGTTATGTGTTATGTGCATCATTTTCTGGTTTTAGAAACCCAGATAGCCATAGTATTATGAGAGTAACCAGAATACTCTGGCATGTATGCACCTTATCACTTTCTGATCATTATGTACCTTCCATGAAGGTGCACGATCATGAAGATGAAATAAAAGAAAATTTTGACTTTGTTAATAGATAAATTGGCTTTGTTTTCTACTGCTGATGATCAACCAGAAAAGCTAAGTCAAGCTGTTAAAAGAGAAAATTTGTTGTTAATGCAGTTGTTCAAAAAGCCAGAAATCAAACTGCTGATCCTCATAAATGAGTAGCTGAAATGTTGAAGATTTAAGACATCTTCTTACAGGTAATAAGAACATAGATACTGGTATGATCATGCTTACAGGAATAAAACAAACCAGATTCTTGTATTTTATTTAAATATCATATCATAAAAAAGCTAAATAATCAGAATACTAACATGCAAGTAAATGCGCAGCATACAGTGCTCACACTGTCACGTTTACTTGTGCTTATGCTCTATGGAATTTCTGTTTTTATGGTTCAGCTGAGTATCCAGTTAGTCCATACAGATACTGTGGCTGAATTTAATTTGAACCACTACCCATGAATTTCCCTGCATGCAAACAAATATATTCACCTTCTTCAGCATGACAACCCCCATAGCAGTTTCGGCAGTAAAGAGAATGGCATTGATCATCATGATCACGCCAACGGGGACATTGGTCTTCAGAGCAGCCAGGCTCACGATCCACCCGCTGAGGGAATGAGACAGAGAAGTAAAAGGCAGAAACCGACACCTGATATTAATTATGCACACACTATCTTTGTTTTGTCAGCACTGACAGCTCAAATAAGAACAGCGCATACTTAGGTAACAATATTAGCTCAATGATGAAAGGAAAAGGTTCCATTGTCATGTTGAACCTACAGATACTTTTAGAAGAAAAACTGTACTGATGGTTTGTTAAACATTGCACCTCCACCTCTAGTCTGGAAATCTAATCTTATACTGGCAACAGCAGTTTTTTTTTTTTTTGGGGGGGGGACAGATTCAAGGCCAACAACCTTGAGACGCTTTCTTTTTCTCTGCTGAAAAATCAGATCCTAGTGAAGCTCTGCCAGTCACTATAAGCATGTTTTTGTCCTTTAGATGGTTTGTTTTAGTCATACCTGAAGCCCCATCCAGGGATACCAATGGTCATGATAACGCAAACGACCACTTGAGCAAAGAAAATGAAGAAGAATACAAAGAAGTTGAAGGAGCTGTCACTCCTAGAGGAGAAAAAAATAATGATCAAAATGAAGCAACAACTCATCCATTTACAGTATCCTTCACTAAGGCCTTGCACATCAACACAGGTGTTTTCACTTATGGTACCTAGCTTAGGTGCCCTAGCACCTGCATGCACTGGTGCTGTGAGGAACCTTGGAGTCATTTTTGACAGTGATTTTAATTTTGATAACCAGATCAGATCCGTGGTTAAAACCAGTTTTTATCATTTGAGGCTCTTAACGAAGGTGAAGCCTTTTTTATCGTATGCCGATTTAGAAAAAGCCATCTCGACTATTGTAATGCCCTCCATGTCGGAATCTATCAGTTTCTTCTGCGGAAGCTTAGTTCAAAATGCTGCGGCTTGACTGTTGTCAAACACTCCTAAGTCTGCCCACATCACCCCTGTGCTTCGCTCACTCCATTGGCTGCCAATACAGTATAGAATTAACTTCAAAATACTACAGTTTGATATTAAGGCCATAAATGGCTTTGCTCCGCCATACATATCGGATCTTCTCTCCGTCTATGTGCCACGCAGAACCCTGCGCTCCTCAGAACACTAGTCCCTGGTTGTTCCTTGGGCTAGGTACAAAAAAGGGGGAGAACGCTCTTTTGCCGTGTATGGCCCCAGGCTTTGGAACGCCCTACCACCAGAGCTTCGGGCCGAAACTGAGCTGGCGGCTTTTAAGTCAACTCTGAAAACCCATCTCTTTAGACAGGCCTTTGGTATTTAGCTCGTCCTAATCTTAACTTGTTTTTTCTCCTGCTGTTTTATACTGTTTTTATTCTGATAGGGATGTCCTTTATTTTGGGGTTTTTAATAATTTGTAGTTTATTTTGTATAGGTTTTTGTTTTAGTATTGTCTTGTATTAGTGTCCTTTTGTGAAGCACTTTGGGCTCCTGCAGAGTTGTAAAGTGCTATATAAATAAACTATTATTATTATTATTATTACAATGGCAGATTAAACCCCTACTCAGTCTGGGCAAAGCTGTGATGGGAGTTGAATGATATACAAGTCCATCAATTATAAAGAATGATAAAGGTATAACTTGCCATTCCCTACAACTACAAAAAAATGTTAACAGGATATTAAGGCATATATCCACATGGACCTAAGAGGTTTAATCAGGTAACTTAATAGAAAATACCTGTGGGGGTGTACAAGGCTTTGAAAAAGTTAAACAAGTGTGCCATCATGAAATCAATTGTCTTGTTTTATATAGAGCAGAAGTGCTTCCTCTCTGTCCGTTTGCTTCCCTTCTTGCGCTGGTTACACTTCCACTGTTTTCTTGCTCAGATTTAGTTCCTGTTAAAATGTAGGGCAGTGTTACTGGCTGCCTTTGACCATTTATCAAGTGAAAAACACATATTAATACTTAAAATGATTGTGGCACACTGTTTTTCCAACATCTCCACTTTACTACTTGGTTTACACCTTCTACTTGTGTAAGCAATTTAACCAAAGGCTGCACCTCTGCAGGTCTAAGGTGAACCATGAAGAACATCACATTCATACTTACACAAGACTGTCCCATGACAAAATGTTAAAACCAAAAACTTTGAATGACATGTGAAGGATAAATGTTAAAACTTTTGCCCAACATATTTTTGGCCCCCAGGCTTTTCATCAGGATGGTGGTACACACCTGAAGGCTTTATACACAGGTCGGTACCAACAGACGAAGGAGCAGGGGGTGAAGAGGAGGGCCCAAAGGATGGCAAGACCCAGGCCCACACCACCGGAGGGGTCCACACAGAACATGGCCAGGGAGGAGATCAGGTTGAAGGCCAGAGTTAAAGTGCAGACTGGACATTGATAAAAATAGATAAAAGAAGACACAGTATACAGAAGGATGAACAGAAATTCCTGAACAAATGTAAACAGCACTCCAGTCAAGATCAGCACTTTGTGGCTTTATTACAGAGCTGTGGTCTGGAACACCAATCCAATCCACCCGTCCCACATCGAAAGAAAAAGCCAACATGTCAGGATTTTGGCTGATGTAATATGATGCAATCTTTGCCTACAGCTAGGTCTAGAATGGGCTCCTCTGGTTGTCCCTAGGTCCCCAGTCAGGACAGCTTTGTCACAGAGCACACCTGAAGAAATTAAGCTAGAAGAATCTTTGATGTTCAAATATGTAATCATATTACTGTGATTATAATGAAACTTACACTTCTGCCATGTTACAATCAAATGATAACTATCAGATGTTAGGACAGAGGTAAAAGAGAAACAACTGGGTGTCAATAATTAACAATAATAATGAACTAAAACATACAGCAGAGCACTGTATGTTCTCATAAAGCATAACAATAGCTGCTAAGTATATACTGCATTTTACAGTGTTCTAGGCCAGAGGCTCCCAGTGACTGGTACCGGGTCTGGAAACATTTGCTACCACTTGCTCTTGGTGGGCCAACAACAACTTATTTTCAACAAACTGAACTGGTTCTTGTATGGACAACCCAGCTGACAACAGCAGAATTGGACACCAATTTCAGCTGGTTCCTGCCAGTCAGTCAATCTAGCAGTGAAGTGTCAGTCTTTGTGCAAACACTCCGGTTCATTCTCCTGGCAGCACAGTAGAGGCCACACAGCACTGAGTCAGCTGTACGTTCAGCTTCATAATATATTCTCTTAGAGTGTACTGCCTTCCACCAAGAGAGATTTTAGAATAGCTGTAGTTTCACTCCAATCATGCCACACAACCCAAACCCTTAAAGAGCTACAACACTTCATTTATAGTGTTAAATACTGGCAGTATTGGTAAGACGGTAATTCTGCTAATTAAAACATTACTACAGCAGAGTAAGAATAACAGGAACTCACACATCCAGAAGTAATACATGATGGTGACTGTGCGCTGGAAACGCTGGCTGATCTCCACATTGATGTCCTGGTAGAAGCAGGGGCCCACAGGGCAGAATGAAGGTAATGGGGGCCAATTATTCTGACGGGCTGAAGAAGAGAGCAATCAGGGGGTCATGGTACAATAAAACACATTTGGCATTATATATAAAATTATTTAATAGAGGACGTTCTAGTAGTTAACCAACACTGAATATTAATAAAACTTGAAATATTCTTTCCGTGGCTTTCAACTACATTAAAGTCTGTTATAAACCATTTATTACAGGTTTATAAAGGCTATATCTAGGGAACAAAGTGTTACCATTTCTTTTCAGTACAACCCTGATATTGAGTGTTCACTATGAAGTTTACAAAAACAATGGTTCAGTGCAGCTGGATTTCAATGAGACATCCTAAACGTTTCAGGTACTGGTTGATCGATATAGGTTTTACAACGACTGATGCCAGTGGTGATTTTTTTAGAGAGCAGTTTGTCTGATGGCTGATATATAATGCAGATATCGTGTTTTTGAAATCTTTTTGCATCAGACAAAATACACCAATTTAATAACAAATGAAGCACATATTTCCTGAATTTAAATGAACATTTATTTAACCTTAATGAATTATGAAAATAAAAAATGAACATTGCCTCATTTACTACAATCTGCACTGACCTTATTATTTTAAAATTAAAAAGATGTTCACAAATAATCAAAAAACCAAACTGTAATAAACCTTTATGAATAAATGATAAAACAAAATAAAACAGTTACATTTTCCTGAGACACAAGGTCAAATTATAAATGTTTTACTTGCACTGCACACAATAGTAGCACACACATTGTCTGCAGACATGTTGGCCAATTAGAATCCAGCCATCGCCCTGTGCCAATCACCTAAATATCAGCCTGATTAATCAGTCGACCACTAATTTGACAAGACCCCCTCATCTTGCCCCTCTCTTACAGGCTCCAGGTCCCAGACTGTGTGACTTGAGCTCCCTCTCTCTCCTCTCCAGCTCCTGGGCTTTCTTCTCCAGCTCCTCCTGCTTCCTCAGGAGATCTGCTGTGGTAGCATTCACTGCAGTCTAACACAGTAAAACATAGGCAAAGTAAAGCATCAGAAGTGCAAAGAGATTAGCTGAATTTGTGTCATAAAAAAAAAGCAAAGGATCATGTGTCGAGGCCAGTATCATAACAGAGTCCTAGAGGAGATGCTGTCAAGATCTGCAAAAACAAATCAAGTGTTTTCTGTTAAGTGTAGTTTAAAGTCTGCATGTAGATGCAATGGTAAGGTTTAAGTATGGCTCTGATTTCAGTGCATTATCCCTCAGGTCTGCCCATAACTGTGACGAGAGCCATAAAAATTCTTATCTTTATAAATAATTTAAATGGACTGCTGTCCTGCAGATGGCTGGTTTGGGGGTTTGTTTTTAAGGATTCAGCAGCCAGCTGCACAGAGTAGAGCTGAGTGGGCTGATTCATTGATATCTTAGAAAACCCTTTTCATGACCCTGAAGGACAAACCCTGTTCTCTGGGTACATTTTTAATTTTCAGTGCGAGTACAGTCACATTTTTGCATCCAACTACCACTGAATTTACTCATGTTAAAATGTGATAACAAGTGTGCTTATGAAGTTTTTTTTCCCCTCATACCTGGGAGTTATATGAGCCATAGTTGCGAGGCTCAGTGGGTGTTGTCCTGCTGGGTGGGGTCTGTGCAGGCACAGATGGAGCAGAAGGAGATGTGGCTTCATATGGTGGTGGAGGCTGGAGCAGATTTAGTAAAAGTCAGTCAAGATACATCAGTTTGATCTCATGGTAAAAACTCTGAGCAAACCCTCAGGGCATTATGTCATGACCTCAGGGCTGGAAATGAGATGCAGATGTATCACATTCCACACAGAAACTGAAATTCCTTTCTTAAATGCATTGATAACATGATGGTGTTTATAAACAAATACATTTTCTGTAACATGACAAGTGATAATGCCAAAAAGGCAATTTCACTTAGAGTTTAAAATGAATGAAAGAAGATTTTATTAGTGTCTTGTAGGTGACTATACCCACATAGGCTTACAAACACGCAGAACAAGGATGGTGCAGATACATTTTCAACAAAAAGGTAAATTTGTGCTCCATCTATTTATTTTGATCATTGATTATTCTGTTGATTACATTCTATATTAACCAATCACTACATCTATGAAAGGCAGAAAAAAGTTGAAAATATCAATTAAAGGTGAAATTAATATACTCATTTGTTTTGTCCAATTAGCAATCTGAAATGTTTAAAATTGTAGAGGACTAGCACCAGCAAATACTCATATTTAAGAAGCTGGAATTAGTATAGGTGGGAGAGTTTCACCTAAAACAAATGACATAAACAAAAGTCCGTGACTAAAGTACTGTCCAATACTGGAGAAATCAAAACAAATGATAATTAAATAATCCATCTTGCTTATATTTTGGAGTCCATATAGTAACATTTTTAGAGGTGTGTGATTCCTAACTGTTAAAAGGACAGTGCAGGTCCTGTTGCTGCAGTATATGCCAATAGCTGACAGGAAGTACACATGGACCCAAGCCGTCTCCTAGCAACAACATCCCAATGATAAGGTCCATAACTTAGACCTGAGCTGTTTCCTAGCAGCAGAAATATTAAACTCTATAGCAATATGTATATTTTAGCTCTGCTTTCACTGCAATCAGTCTTAGTTTTGTTAAGCATTTTAAGACACAAAAAACTGTATAATAAACTACATCTGTGTACAACCCAGTCCTTAAGGCTGAATAGCCACCTGGGTAAAGGAGGTAACTGCCCCAGGAACACTGACAGATTATTAGAGATGGGTAGAGAGAACAGAAGCTCTGAAGTGAAGTGCAACAATCAACACATGGTGCCAGGGCTTGTGTCAAATGAAAAAAAAACATGTGACTGATGACATCCAACACTTCAAACATCACTGGTGCTTCGTAATGCACATCACTGACGTTTTTGAAAGTTTTGAAATTAAACTAGGTACATTAATGGACTGATAAAGAATTATTGAGAAATATGACTATAAAGACAAAACCAAATATTTCCCATCTGATAGCAAACATATTATAAAATTAACAGCATTATTCAATGAAAACCATTCTCCAATAACATGACATTATGACTTAAATGACATGTCATAAATATCAACCATGAAATTAAAACGATTGATTCCACAGTCAGTGTGACTGTGGACTCAATCAGTACGTTTACTGCACTAATAAAGTACAATATGGCATTTATTATTTTACTGCAACATACTGCAATCTAACATATACTTTTAATAAAGCCCTTCTGAATAACAATATTATAGATTAAAGAGTAATGTTAATCATCATCATCATCAGACTTATATTACACAGGAGATTAAAACCCCTAATATCAGTGAGGTGTTGTCATGCTTCAGCCAGTCTTTACCAGCTGCAATACATTTTAAAGCCACCAGATGTCACTGTTCATCTTCACCTGCCCATCATTAGGGATTATAAAACAATCAGTGGCTCCCTAACTCCCTGAGTGAAAGAGGTACAGTATATTGACATGCTTTTAGCCGTTTCTGCGCTTGTTGTAGTTTTGTGTCTACTTGTAGGGATTTTTTTTGCACTTCTCTGTCATGGTTTTGTGTCTCTTTGTGAGACAATCTCTGACAAAAATCTTTATTAGATTGAAACACTGCTGCTTTATTAAAAATGCTGGAAGCATAGTGCAGTGTGCATATTTTCTGTCTGTTTTTGCCTTTAACATACAGTGCCTTGCGAAAGTATTCGGCCCCCTTGAACTTTGCGACCTTTTGCCACATTTCAGGCTTCAAACATAAAGATATAAAACTAATTTTTTGTGAAGAATCAACAACAAGTGGGACACAATCATGAAGTGGAACGAAATTTATTGGATATTTCAAACTTTTTTAACAAATAAAAAAACTGAAAAATTGGGCGTGCAAAATTATTCAGCCCCTTTACTTTCAGTGCAGCAAACTCTCTCCAGAAGTTCAGTGAGGATCTCTGAATGATCCAATGTTGACCTAAATGACTAATGATGATAAATAGAACCCACCTGTGTGTAATCAAGTCTCCGTATAAATGCACCTGCACTGTGAGAGTCTCAGAGGTCCGTTTAAAGCGCAAAGAGCATCATGAAGAACAAGGAACACACCAGGCAGATCTGAGATACTGTTGTGGAGAAGTTTAACGCCGGATTTGGATACAAAAAGATTTCCCAAGCTTTAAACATCCCAAGGAGCACTGTGCAAGCGATAATATTGAAATGGAAGGAGTATCAGACCACTGCAAATCTACCAAGACCTGGCCGTCCCTCTAAACTTTCAGCTCATACAAGGAGAAGACTGATCAGAGAGGCAGCCAAGAGGCCCATGATCACTCTGGATGAACTGCAGAGATCTACAGCGGAGGTGGGAGACTCTGTCCATAGGACAACAATCAGTCATATACTGCACAAATCTGGCCTTTATGGAAGAGTGGCAAGAAGAAAGCCATTTCTTAAAGATATCCATAAAAAGTGTCGTTTAAAGTTTGCCACAAGCCACCTGGGAGACACACCAAACATGTGGAAGAAGGTGCTCTGGTCAGATGAAACCAAAATCGAACTTTTTGGCAACAATGCAAAACGTTATGTTTGGCGTAAAAGCAACACAGCTCATCACCCTGAACACACCATCCCCACTGTCAAACATGGTGGTGGCAGCATCATGGTTTGGGCCTGCTTTTCTTCAGCAGGGACAGGGAAGATGGTTAAAATTGATGGGAAGATGGATGGAGCCAAATACAGGACCATTCTGGAAGGAAACCTGATGGAGTCTGCAAAAGACCTGAGACTGGGACGGAGATTTGTCTTCCAACAAGACAATGATCCAAAACATAAAGCAAAATCTACAATGGAATGGTTCACAAATAAACATATCCAGGTGTTAGAATGGCCAAGTCAAAGTCCAGACCTGAATCCAATCAAGAATCTGTGGAAAGAACTGAAAACTGCTGTTCACAAACGCTCTCCATCCAACCTCACTGAGCTCGAGCTGTTTTGCAAGGAGGAATGGGCAAAAATTTCAGTCTCTCGATGTGCAAAACTGATAGACATACCCCAAGCGACTTACAGCTGTAATCGCAGCAAAAGGTGGCGCTACAAAGTATTAACTTAAGGGGGCTGAATAATTTTGCACGCCCAATTTTTCAGTTTTTTATTTGTTAAAAAAGTTTGAAATATCCAATAAATTTCGTTCCACTTCATGATTGTGTCCCACTTGTTGTTGATTCTTCACAAAAAATTACAGTTATATATCTTTATGTTTGAAGCCTGAAATGTGGCAAAAGGTTGCAAAGTTCAAGGGGGCCGAATACTTTCGCAAGGCACTGTATGTGTGCTCCAGCTGCAGCACCTACAAATGGAGTTTGGATCACTGTTGTATCTCTGTGATATTAACCATCTTTGAAGGCAGAGAGTGACAGATGACTGAAAGACCTGAAAAGATAGAAACTCTTGCATTAACATTAAACTAAATGTAAGCCTTTTGCTTACATGATGCTTAACAGCAATGGCACATTTGGTCCCTTTCTCTGTCCCTCACAAATAAAACATGCCAAACCACATACAGTCAGGTCCATAAATATGGGGACAGACACAATTCTAACATTTTTGGCTCTATACACCACCACAATGGATTTGAAATGAAACGAACAAGATGTGCTTTAACTGCAGACTGTCAGCTTTAATTTGAGGGTATTTACATCCAAATCAGGTGAACGGTGTAGGAATTACAACAGTTTGCATATGTGCCTCCCACTTGTTAAGGGACCAAAAGTAATGGGACAATTGGCTTCTCAGCTGTTCCATGGCCAGGTGTGTGTTATTCCCTCATCCCAATTACAATGAGCAGATAAAAGGTCCAGAGTTCATTTCAAGTGTGCTATTTGCATTGGGAATCTGTTGCTGTCAACTCTCAAGATGAGATCCAAAGAGCTGTCACTATCAGTGAAGCAAGCCATCATTAGGCTGAAAAAACAAAACAAACCCATCAGAGAGACGTGGCCAAAACAACTGTTTGGAACATTCTTAAAAAGAAGGAACGCACCGGTGAGCTCAGCAACACCAAAAGACCCGGAAGACCACGGAAAACTTTTGCAGTATGCTTTGGGTCATTGTTCATCTGTACTGTGAAGCGCCGTCCAATGAGTTCTGAAGCATTTGGCTGAATATGAGCAGATAATATTGCCCGAAACACTTCAGAATTCATCCTGCTGCTTTTGTCAGCAGTCACATCATCAATAAATACAAGAGACCCAGTTCCATGGGCAGCCATACATGCCCACGCCATGACACTACCACCACCAGGCTTCACTGATGACGTGGTATGCTTAGGATCATGAGCAGTTCCTTTCCTTCTCCATACTCTTCTCTTCCCATCACTCTGGTACAAGTTGATCTTGGTCTCATCTGTCCATAGGATGTTGTTCCAGAACTGTGAAGGCTTTTTTAGATGTCGTTTGGCAAACTCTAATCTGGCCTTCCTGTTTTTGGGGCTCACCAATGGTTTACATCTTGTGGTGAACCCTCTGTATTCACTCTGGTGAAGTCTTCTCTTGATTGTTGACTTTGACACACATACACCTACCTCCTGGAGAGTGTTCTTGATCTGGCCAACTGTTGTGAAGGGTGTTTTCTTCACCAGGGAAAGAATTCTTCGGTCATCCACCACAGTTGTTTTCCGTGGTCTTCCGGGTCTTTTGGTGTTGCTGAGCTCACCGGTGCGTTCCTTCTTTTTAAGAATGTTCCAAACAGTTGTTTTGGCCACGCCTAATGTTTTTGCTATCTCTCTGATGGGTTTGTTTTGTTTTTTCAGCCTAATGATGGCTTGCTTCACTGATAGTGACAGCTCTTTGGATCTCATCTTGAGAGTTGACAGCAACAGATTCCAAATGCAAATAGCACACTTGAAATGAACTCTGGACCTTTTATCTGCTCATTGTAATTGGGATGAGGGAATAACACACACCTGGCCATGGAACAGCTGAGAAGCCA